CATAGCGTCAGGAGAAGATGTGACGGTCCAGACACACAGAGAGATAGCTTGAGATAGGATATACCCTGTGGTTACTGCTTTAAAACAAGGAGAGAGGGAGGCAGAGGGAGGTACACAAACACAGCTCATGAAACCTTTCCCAATATCAGCAGGGTGCGGCAGAGGCTGCTGGAGCCAGCAGCCTCTGCATGGTGGCTCGACCTATTTCAAAACAATACTTCCCTGGCTGGTGATGGCTAAGAATCCCTCCCTCCCTCTCTTCCTTGACTCGTCTCTCACGTTCTTATTCTGTCACACTGTCTCCCTGCATGTCTCGCTGCAACTCTCCCTTTCAGTTTTTATACATTCCTCTTTGTGTTTCTCCTCCTCTGGTCTTTTTTTCCCTCCCCTTCTCTCTCCCTCTCTCTCTCTCTCTGGCCGTGGTGAGTCAGAGCCTTGTTGAGTATTCACAGAGGAGGAGAGTGAGGGACAGGACGCGAGTGATGGAGACGGGTGAAAGAGAGGTGTTAAGTCTGGAGGAGAAAAAACAGATTAGGAACATTCAGGGGGTTGTTGTTGCAGCGACAAATCAAATGTTTAGTGCAAGAGAGGAGAAAGAATCATGTGAAGAAGAAGAGGACGATCTCAAATCTCCATTTGTCTGTTAATGGACCCAATTAAATCTAAGTAAGTGGCGAGAGTAAATTGGGTGGAACCATCGACAACATGTCTCCACTTCCTCCATTGTACAGAAATGCAGCAAAATATTCCACTTACGGGTGCCACCATCTTGCACTTTTCATGTAATGTCGAGCCAGAGTCTGCATTATCCCAGTATAGAGGTCCCCCTGCTACAGGCATCTAACTAATTGTGAGTCAGACTTAGCAGTCAATCATCCTGCTTTTAAAGCATCAAATAACTAAAATATCCAAGGAAGAATTATTCCCAGGGAAAATTGTGAAAAAAACTCTCTCTTGCAATTTTAAAGACAGTGAAAAAAATATTCTGGAGGGTTATTCCTTACCCATACCACATCCTGCCACCAAGTTTCATCAAACTCCATTCAGTTGTAATTGTTCCCAAACAAACAGATGGACAGGGATTAAGGTCATGTCCATTCCAGTAACATGGAGGAGGTAGGGTGGATGATTTATACTGCAGCCAGCAACCAGGGGGCATTCAGGTTGGTTTGGCATCACTTTTGAGGAGCTACAGGGAATTTGTATTTCTTAAATTGGCAGGTTATGTATTGCAACCCTTGTCATTTCAGCACAGCCTGTTCCCTCTAATGGGCTCTATAGGCTTCACCACTCTTTTCTGCTCCACTGTCACTATTCTGCTGCTCTCACTGTACTACCCACAGATCCAACACTTCCAGTTAGTGCCAAGAAACTGACCTGGACAGACGAAGGTTGGTGCTTTACTGAAAAGCTCAGAGCATTAACAATCGCATATAACAGTCTCATGGCTCACGGGAACATCTACTAGCGCTTGGTCCTGGAGATAAGAGATGTTTATCGCCATATTTTAAATTTGACTTGGTATACAAATATCTTTACTACAGGTCAAATGAGTAGGGGTTTCAAGAGCCTTCAGCCACTTTCACCCATTCCACACACACATAGCCCTACTAGGTGTTCGGTGCCTCATCACTCAACACTTTGACATGTGGACTGGTGAAGCAGAGACGGCCTGTCAGCCAAGCAATTAAGGGAAGACCAGTTCTACCTGCTGAGCATCTGCTGCCGCAATAGCCTGCTCTCTGACTAATCCCCATGACAACTGATCAAACTCAACCGCTGTTAAAAGACAGTGTGGTCTGTGAAAGGACAGGACCACGAAGGACCTTGAAGCATTTTGTCAAGGCAAAAGATTAAAATACTCTCACAGACTATCATTCTGTTACCTTGAAAAGAAGCCCTGAGGCACGACTGGTTGCATCTGGCTGGATTGTGCCTATAAGCTTCCCAAGCCCTCGCATGAAATACAGAGAATAAAATGTCTTCCTGTAGCTACTGCAAAAGCCACTGTTCTGACGGGAGCCTCATCGCAACCTCGCCGGCATTAACAAATGAGCAGTTTCTGCGAGTTTCTCAAGTGGCACCCCACCCCGCAAGCAAACCTATGCCCCTGGTAGAGCTCTCCTCATTAAAGCCCCATCAGCAAGTCACATCATTACCTGTTTATTCCTTCCACTACGCTCTCCTCCCTGTCTCCTGCTCTCTGTTAGCCAGCCAGCTGCCACATACTCCAGAGGATAGTCCAATTAGAAACAGCATACGCACAGACATAAATGTGCACTGGCGGATATTCCAATTAAACACAACACACGAGACAAACACACTTGCATGCAGATACACAGTAATTCGCCCACTGGACATTCTTAATTAGCTGAACAAACATAGCACGGACGCCGCTCAGCCAGTCCACAGGGCTGGATGCTTCAGCGCGTCAGATACAGGCAAACCTGCACAGGCACATGCGTGGACACGTGCACACCTTAAAGTTGCCAAACCACGTCAGCGTGCACAAATGGTCAAATGCTCATTATCACATATGCAAGCTCATGAAGTCACAGAAGATGAGCTGGTTCTTTGTCAGTTTTGTTAAACGGTTCGAGAAGCTGCCCGTTGTCATTAGGTTACTTGTTTGAGAAGGTGAATAATTGTTATTATACTCGTCATAACCTTTTACATGAATTATGAAATGACAAAGGTCAAAAAATTATAGAAACAAATAATAGTCACTTAAAAATAGATAACAGTGAATACACAAATCTATGTACCAATACCACGTCTTTCAAGTATTTTAGTTTCACCCAGATAAAAGTGCAATTTTCCTTATTCTGAAATTATTTGTGCATCGCTGCTCTAAAACACTAGAGAGAACAGTTTTTAGAGCAGTGAAGAAGTGATTAGTGTAGTTTAAGCCTAGCTAAATAATCTATCAGCAATTTGGCATTATTTCACACTGGATAGTACCAAGAGTAAAACGGCCACGAGTAGCACATGGAAGACTTTAGTTTGGAGCTATTTTGATAGAAATTGATTGTGTTGTTTTTCAGTTGTGACCATCAGACTAGATAATAAAAGAAGTTCCATGTCATTCATTATGTGTTTGTATTTGTTTTTCAAAGGGATTAACATAAGCCGCTATAGCAATGATATCTATCACCACTTCCGTATAAGGGTTAGTAGCATAAAGCTGTTAAAATGTTTTGTACAATAAGCTGTTATCTTTTTTAAATTCATTATGTGAGATGGTTTTCGGACGACAGAAACAGCCAACCACCTTGGAAAGAGAAGGGACTGAGAGTGGGAAACGACTAAGGTTTATTATGTGGATAAGAACGGATGGACTTGATCCTTTAGTGGACATTCAGTTTGTATGTAGGAGAGAAAAACCCAGTGGGACTAGATTATCACATTTCAGACTGTGTTATCTCAAGGCAAGCATGCTTTACGCAAGTTATGTGGACCTGTACATTAAATTAAATAATAGCCAATGCTTCCGAAAGAGCTTTGGGTTTATGATTTGTATCTCTTTGGTGTATACGTGCATGTTGTGTTATATTTGAAACCCGAGTGCTATCTCTGTGTTCCCAACCATGCATGTACGTGTGTTTACTGCTTATCCGACTCGTATGTGCACATTTACGATCTACAGAGCTACGTGTGTTCAGCTTTGCAAAATACACACTGTGAAATCTGCAATCAATTACCTGCCTTGAATTTCAATGAGCATATGAAGTGTTTTATTGTTAAGAACCAGAATAGTCACTTTATCAAGAAATGGAATCAATAAAGCACCACCGCTTTAGCTCCGGTTAATGCAGGGCTTTAGTATATAGTGTTATGAATAAGATAAGCGTGTGCATGCCTTTGAAACCCTTAAACTGAAAACACACCTTTTAAAATGTGTCACACCGTCATACAATCACTGAGACACCATTTTATTTTCTCCTCCACAGATACACATATATTCTTCCCTCTCCTGTGTACACAGGAACGTACACGCAACTTGTAAAATATCCACATGTTGTGTCTTGTGCATTTCACTGCACATTCATTCAAGATCCTATATTTCATGAACCTTGGATGTAGAGAAAAGGCTGCCCACACACACACACCTCCACCTTGTGACAGTTGCATCTTACTCACACACGGCCATCAATAGCTGATTAAGGGTTGGGGGGGGGGGTTATAAGCTCTACAAGACCTGACCAAGGCTTCAGACCATGGATCCAGTCAATCAGACAAAGAGAAAATCCTCTTGCACTCACAGGAAATTGACAGGAGATTTTCGGACATTAAGCCGGTTACCAGCTGTAAAACATCTGTCTCTTGATGCCTAACGGTGCCGTTTTTTAACCCGGGGAAAGTTTTCAGCCGAAGCATTACGTGGAAATTTATGACCACAAAAAAGTTATTCCATAACTTCATTTTGCTGCGAAATGGGCTGAAGAGAGTTTAGTCATGCTCTTAGAGGGGCACATAAAACACACCATCACAACCTGGTGGATTCTTCTTTTACACAAAGGTATACGTAGTGTCACACGAAACGCATCTCAATCCTTCACTCCCAATATGTGTCAATATGTGTGTGTTGTATATATACACAATATATACAGAGCGCTCTCTGCAGTCATCGTTCCTGAAGCCTGTGATGTCCCAGAGAGAATTGCTTTGAATCCCATACAGTTCATACACAGGTTAATCCAAGAGAGAGATGCAGATGTACACACACACATGCACACACACACACACACACGCACGCACGCACGCACACACACACACACACACACACACACGCACACGCACACACACACACACACTTTGGCATTCATCCTCTTTGCAGAAACCCTGAAGATGTTGAGGATGAAGTACAGACATCAACCATTTCCACACACACTCTATCTACTGTAATGCACAAAGATACTATTAAAGTTGGAAAATAAATGATTCAGGTAAAGGAATATACATATATTAGATAAAAACTACACCAATATGCACAAACTCACCCTCTCTGCGGACTGCGACGTGCCAAAGAAGATGGGTATGAACGCCAGCCAGATGATACAAGTGGTGTACATGGTAAATCCGATGGGCTTGGCCTCGTTGAAGGTTTCGGGCACGCCTCGCGTCTTGATGGCGTACACTGTGCACGTCACCATCAGCAGGATGGAGTAGCCCAGGGAGCAGATGAGCGACAGGTCTGAGATGTCGCACTTGAGGACGCCGCGCGCTGACGTCGGGTCCTGGGTCCGCTGCTCATCGTAGTCCACGACGGTGTGCGGGGGGTCCACGGCGAACCAGACGAAGACTCCCATGAGCTGGACCGAGATCAGGGAGAAGGTGATGACGAGCTGGGAGGCGGGGGAGATGAACCTGGGGGAGAAGAAGATCACGGGTATGAGGTGGTGGTGCTGCAAGGGAATAATGCAACTACGGCTCTGGGAGGCACCCTTTGCTAGGATAGAGGGCTCTTGCATGACTGGGTGAAGATGCTGTTCAGATGAGGGGCGGTGCAGCAGAGAGGAGGCAACGTAGAAATTCAGAGATCAAGCATATTGACACCAGCATCGACCCTGATCGCCAAAAGCTCTTTCCCAGTATAGCTCCTCTTTTTTATACTTTTCAGTTTTAAATTCGTTGCATGGTAGAAACGTTGATTAGCAGTAATGGAAACATGACACAAGTTCACTCTGTGTTATGTTTTGGTGCATTCGTGACGGAGAACATCAACAGGAAAATTCCTCAACTAGCAATGGGAAAGGACTCAATTACAAAAAGTTCAAATGTACACCCGATTAATTGGTGTAAACATACAACTAAGAACTACAGATGATTTTTGTCTGGTCTTCCTGGACAGCAGGTTGAAAATTTGGAAATCAACAATCGTAAAAATATATGCACGTGTAATAGCAGTACAACAATAAGAACTCTAACGGCTTGTTGGTGCTTATTTTAAAATGGATGACCATTTAGGCAGCAGGGACGTGAACCTGAGCACTTTTAAATCCCACATTAACATTTTAGTCACTTAGTTGATGCTCTTTCCCGTCGTCACTCACACTGAGTGAAAACAGAACAATAGGTGAGTGTGAGTTCATGACTCTCATACATAATGTATGACACAGAAAAATGATGAATAATGATTGCAAGCAGCTTCGTAAGGAAGAAGCAGAGGTTAAGTCCTCATGTGAACACACTCATCTCAGAGCAATAAAAACCCACAGTGACCTTCAGCGCCACTGCACCCATCAAAAGCCGTGTTTGTGCTGAACACACATCCACTCAGAGGTCAAACAAAGAGCGTGTGTCGTGTTTTCACCTGGGTGCTGTCACGGATTTCTTCCCCTGTTCGAAGATGCGGTGTATCCTGTTGGTCTTGGTGAGCAGGGCGGCATAGCTGAAACACATCCCCAAGCCCAGGAAAATCCTCCTGAACGAGCACACGCCCACGTCAGGCGTGGCGATCATCAGGAACGTGATGGCGTAACACAGGAAGATTCCGGTCAGCAGCACGTAGCTCATCTCCCGGCCCGACGCCCGCACGATGGGCGTGTCGTTGTACCGGACGAAAGTGACGATGACGAAGGAGGTGGCGATGATGCCCAGCATGGAGATAAAGACGGGGAATACGGCCCAGGGGGAGTGCCACTCCAGCTTGATGATGGGGATGGCGACGCAGCCGGTGCGGTTGACGTCGGGCCGCATCACGTATGGACACAGCTCACAGGTGAACTCTGACGCCTGGAGGAGACACAGGTCAGATCATTCAAATCAAAGGATTATGGAAAACTGTTTAATTTGTATCGATCCAACTCATTTCTTCACCTCTCTCATTAAATAAAGTGTGAACCATAAACTTTATTGGACTTGCAAGAAGACATTGAGTCGATATTTTATCTGATAGGAGTTTTCAGTTTACTTGATTAGTTAAGGAAATTTCAGTACATTTTGAGACGACAGGCAAGGAGCCAGATGTTGAATAAAAGCTGTTTTCAGACATACGCTCTGGACAATATTAGCTGCCTTTGCCTTTCGCATATGAGGAACAACAGGAAAATATCTGGATCATTCAGGATAGAGTTGACGCAGGAGGCAGGACATGAAAAAAATGTCTCTGTTTACAGCACATTGACGCTGGCATTGTCCCTCATTTTCAAAAGCCCTCGAATCTCGTTTTTTTCCAAGTTGACATCCTTAACTATCGTGTACGGCTCCTCTATTTTTATACTGAAATATTTCTATTCTTCCAGTTTCTCATCTGCCATCAACACATGATCATTTTCAAGACAACTTCCTGCCGTATTCTCATATGGGCTCACTGACATTATATGTCTCCAGGCGGCTGGAATGAAAAGTCGTAGAAATTGCACGGAGCAACTGACTCAGACATTTGCGTTCTCACGTAAAGCTCTTCACGGAACATTTCAGTAGCATATCTGAAAGCAGCAGGGCCAGCTTTAGGCTAATCTGAGAACACCACAGCCATTTGTTAAGGTTTTAAAACTCACAGCTGATTTAAATCTGCATGTAGCTCCGACATATGTGTAAATATACAGTAAATCCCACATGCTCATCCAGGAGTATCTCAACAGCTAAGTTATTAATCAAGCACTTGAGACATATTGTGAGTTATTTACCTCTGTAACACGAATCACACATTTTACACATTTATTGTACGCTTGCTCTTTGGTTCACTTTCTTGTTTTCGTCAACATGTTTTACTATTTTCCAATCTGCTAAAATCCCAAATCTACAGTAAACGTGTCAACACATTATTGATTTTACAGCAAATGCATGTATCTGCAGAATGAGTATCGATTGCTCTCGGTGACAAGCGTCGCCTGCTGCTGATATGGTATTTGCTTTTTTCTTTAGTGGCTCTAGAATGTTCTCTGGCTTGCTCACAGATTTCTTTGTTTTTTAACCCCATAAGAAGGATGGAGTGCTGCCAAATTGTCCCTGACCATGATGTAACTAACACAGGGGATGTATCTTCATCATGTGTGATCAGACCCTTTTCCCTCCTTTTAATTTTTGTGCTCCCATTTGCTATAATTACATCTGTGGGGTCATTTGTTTGGGGGGGGGTGACCTGAAATGTGTTGGAACAGAAAATCTTCACGACACAGGGGGACAGACCTCTGCTGTAGAGCAAGAGGAAGCAGGCAAAGACTGTCAGAGAGCAGATACATGAAGGGACGAACATGTTTGTCAGGTCAAAAAGCCCTTAATGCAAACATATCTTCAAGCTGGAGTATAAGAATAGTAGTAAAAGCAGAAGTGCTAGTATCTTTTATAGCAAAGCAGGAAGTTCCGGAGAGATCTACATTGTACATTTGTACATTGTAATTTAAAGAGCACAACACAGCTCTTTCCACTTATACTTGACATTGATTGGTCTGTAGACGGACCCTGGTTCGGACTGATCCAGACCAAGACCACCTCTTTTGGACGGACTAAACGTTCGTGTGTTGGTCCACACTGTGGTCCATGGTGCCTTTCACAACTCGTCATTTCCGTCCAGACTAAACAACCTAAGTGTGAAAGCACCTTGAAAGCTTCTAGAGGCAAACATTCAAGATAATCTACACATCAGGGTAATCCCTGTTTTCTGTTGTGACTTTGTAATCATTAAAAATTAAGAGCTCAATTGAAGATGCATTGATGCAAAATGCGTCCATCATTTTTCTACATTTCTGCAAAATCAACCTGCCGATGATCACCAGGAAGCTTTGCACTGGACCACGTCATGTTTGGCATCAAGCTTTAAAAAAAGGCAGCTTCAATAAAACAGTATGTTTAGTGTAATCGTTGCTTTTCAAACCTAAAGTTTCAGGAACTTAAACGTGTTTACAGTGTAATAAGCCTGCAGCAGTTCCACAGCAGAGCCAAGCGCAGGGAAAGTAAAGCAAATTTGTCGGCTGACAGTTTTAAAAGAGCAGCATCTGTTTTTTGAACTTTTAGATGAAGAAACCAAAATAAAACAGAAACTGGTTTCGCAAAAAATGTAAAAGGTCTTGCACACACTGAGAAAAGTTAGATCACTGTTTTATACAGACCTGTAGAGCAAAGTGATGTGAAGGATTCTGTAAGATTAACAGATTTTATTGCATATCAGTCACAGAGTGGCCTATTTATCAGATCCATACATCTTGACGGACTCAGCTCCAGATATATTTACCTGATAGTGGTATCCCTCACAGCGCTCACAGTGCCAACAACACGGCACACCTTTCACCACCTTTTTCCTTTCGCCCGCGCGGCACGGTATGCTGCATACAGATGCTGGGAGAGATGGATCGCCTCTCTTCCAACGCATGGCCTCCACCTAGACGAGCGGATGGGCAACAGGATAAAAAGTGTGTTTACTCTGCAAAAACAAAACTTTCCACTTTCTTTTGGGAAATTGAAGTGGCAGCCATCTGCTCGAGCTGACATTACTGCGTGTTAACGGTCCTTTAACGCTCAGTTTTCCCCTTGTACCTGCAGAAAGTGTTTCCTCAGGGCAACCTGGAGAGCAATTAGCACAAGCAGATCCTCAGATCATTTTCCCTGGCGCCGCCGGGCACGAAACGAACACAAGCGAGAGTGGAAGCCAATAATCAGACCATAATCAGATCTGGCACCATTTGTATTTTCCTTTTGTGTCAGTTTGTGTCTTCCATGTGTGTCTTTTATTGATTTGTGCTTGTGTCATCCTGGCATTTAAGTAATCTCCTAAGCTCTACATATATCTGGTGTGTGTGCGTGCGTATTTTAATTTGCAGTTATATGTGCGAGTGTTCTTAATAAACTCGGTCATTAGAGTCCCCGAGGTTCACCCGTTGCCGAGGGGGCAGAGGAAAATAGAGCATTACAGTTTTAACTGTACACAATGTACCAGTCCAACGAAAACTAGTTAGGAAGAAAAACTCATGAGGGACGGAGTGAATGGACTTGATTTGATCGTTGACACACATACACGCACAAACACACACACACTATTGAGTTACATGTGCTGCAAATGTATCCGTCAGGAGAAACACCAATGAAGGAAGGTTGAAAGAATCCTGATGAAAGTGTTTGAGTGTGTGTGTACTTGTGGAGCTGTAAGATTTTTGGTTTTTTAGGTTAAAAACTAAGACTAAGTTAGACTAAGTTCTACATGTGCACCAACCCCCTTTTCTTTAAAAACGGATTAAGAAGGAGTTGGGAAAAATGCATTATGCTAATGAGTGTCCTCACTAAGACAGAAGTCAAATAAACTTGAAACTTGTCCTGGGTTTTTCTGGGGTATTTACTGAGTAGTTCTGTTCATTATATATTTACAAAATCACACACACACACAGACACACACAATAACCATGAATTATGCACAAGGCAAAAGAAAATAGTCCTGGTCATGATCCTCTCCTCCATTAATTACTGAGCTGACACTGTAATAGTTATAACAGAAATCAGTTTTAATTATAAACATTAACTTCCCTGTACATTTGTGTCCAAATAATGTACATCCAACCAAACATTTACCACAAGACACACTTGCACCAAGGTGTCCTCTCTTTAAACCGATAAACATGCAAACACTGTGCCTTCAAACCAAACCGGATTGTTCCCACTATGTTTTAGTTTGAAAATCTGTCTACAGGAGTGTTTTGGCTCCACATCAGTAGCCGTTAGCAAAGACAACAGGGTCAGTGAGGCTTGTGATAGATTATCCATGATGCAATGAATTTTTAACATGTGCTGTGAGTGTGTAAGTCAGTGAGGGAGAAGTCGTGACCACAACTATGAAATTTCAGGCTGCTCCTGAATTAAATTATGCATTTTTGTGTGGATGTACATGAGGCTCAGGTGTATACTCCAGTTTCTGTGCGAGCATTTATGTGGCGTTTTGTTTATATAGGTGTGCGACCTTGTGTGGGTGAGTTTGAGTATCTGCCTGAACAAGACTTGTGAATTTATTAGAAACTTTTCTAATAAAAACGCTCGGCTGGATCTAACTTTCCCTCCTGCATCACTGGAGCCCAGAAACTGTGGATTTGTAATTCGCAGCAGTGGGTCACAGTGATGCTGAACTTTGATTCTGTGCAGGTTATGTGGAAAAATACCTCATTGCACATTTTGGATAATTAAACATACATTGAACTTGAAACCCATTTGCAACAATTTGTGTTTCAGACTTAAATTTTAAACCGGAAAAATCTTTTTATCATTGCAATACCTAACTATCTAATTACAAATACTTTGCCAAGTTCTTAAGTGAACCTTTTCCTTCAATTTGCTTTCATTTTATCATTACCGCTGTTTATCATTTCCTCATGTTTTCACCTGTGTTCCGATGTTCTTTCATTATGATTGTTCAAAAACAGATTTCCATGAATCTCGGTGGAAATCTCACAATTAAATGTTGGCGGAGATCCGGACAAAGTGGCAGATCCAGGAACTGATATCTGAGAGTGTGTGTAATTTGGTGCAGCTTGATTTAATTTAAGGGGACTGTTGGGGAGGAGGTATGAGCTCTGGTGCCGTTCGAGTTATTGTTTGTTCATGTACTTGTTGCTGGTGTCCGCATGAATTGTTTCGCATCAGTGTGAGATTCTTACTTTGAGGTCTAGTTTATTGGTCCAGGAGCCGATGACTCTGTACTCCGCAGTAGATCTGTTGGTGATCTGGTACTGGAAGATGTCGTATCTTCCTGGAGCGTCTCCATTCTCATTGAAAACCACTGGGGTACCAGCACTTCCTGGAAACAGCAGATGATGGAGAGATGATCAACTTGGTATATTTCGATATGATTGAATTACAATATGGTTTGTGTTCAAATGGCTCTATAGGTATTGATCACCACACAGCGGCTGAAGGGTAAGAAAAGACAAAGGTTTTGTGATATTTGGTGGAAAAATCTTTGATAAATATGGATATATGTTTCCTCTTTCACATAAATAAAGATAAAAAAACCTGAATTATAATCTCGTAAAATGTTAAAATGGTGCTCGAAGAGGCCACATGTCCTCAGTGAATGCTTAAAATAATCCAAAGGAGCACGAAGACAAACAGCACTTAAGGTGTCAAAGGGGTTTAGACATCACAATGAGGCAGAACACAATCTTACACAACCCATTCCTCACTATGATATTAATTTATGATTATCATTTAATTAAAAAAAATTATAAGGAAATACAAACTTGTAGTATCATTGTCCCTCTGCAGAAGGGCCAACATAAAGAGCAATACTGTAAACACATTCATTAAGTGATGTTCTCTCTATCCTGTGGTGTATTGTAACTCGGTGTGTGTGTGTGTGTGTGTGTGTGTGTGTGTGTGAGGGAGAGATAAGTAGAGAGGAGATAGAGACAGCAATAAGCGGGTTAGGGAGAAATAAAAGTCCAGGAACAGACGGNGTGTGTGTGTGTGTGTGTGTGTGTAAGTATGATTAAATATTCACAAGCATAGAAAGGTTTATGTCCTTTCAGGTTTACTTTAGTTTTCTATCCGCCAATAAGGCTCAATGCAAACTTTATATCCTCCTCCCTCTTACTCGCCTTCTTTTATGTAGCGATACAATCAAATCAATGCATCTGGCGTAGCATAAAGAAAATCCAATTACAGTGTACATGTGAAGAAAGAAGCGCATTGTGGGAATTCTACCTGTGCACTATAAGTCACTGATATGGTGGGGTGATACTGAGGATATATATATAAAAACTGCTACCAGTTAGAGGCAAATGTTAAAGCAGCAGAGTGTGAAACAGTGTGAGGATGAAGATTAGAAATTGACTAAGAGAGTGAAATAGGATGAACGGCTAATAACTACTTGACACAGCAGAGACGGACGAAGAACGAAACCACTTCTGCGAGGGAGAGGGAATATTAACAGAAAGCAAGTTACAGAAATAAAGAGAGTGAGATAAAAACAAACAAGTCATTGAAAGAAAAGAGGTCAGAGTAAATAAGAATGACAGAAAAGTGATTGAGAGGAAACAAGAGAATTACGAGCGAGAGAAATGTGATGGTTCTCTCACTGTGACCACAAGTGATTAAACACATTAATGTATTGAGTGGAAGTGAGAGAATAAGCAAGATGGAGTACGAGTCTCATTGAGAGAGATAAAGACGGATGAAGGAAGACTCAATTGATATGAGATAAAATGAGTTGTCTCAATGTCTCATTGTTAGCAAGTTATGAATGAGATTTGTCTCTCTGAGAGCAAATGCATGTCTGAACCTAATTAATTTCCAAAACAAATCTAATTCATAGACATAATTTATAAAAACTATTAAACTATTAAAATTACGAGACTTTAACAACCGTTCAATATAGAATTTTGCCTTGTTCTGTCTTTTAAATAATCCTTTACCTAAAAAAATGTTGCAGTTAGTTTTTTTTCACACATTTTCTATGGGATAAATATCACACTTTATTCAAAAATTGAAGAAAAACCTTTGAAAAGTTGCATCTCTCCATTTGAAAGCTTGAAATCCACTTGAAACAAGTTTTTGCATGATTTAAACCAAACATTTCTAATCTTTGCAAACTTTATTTATTTATTCATTTTTTTTATTTTTCAATTTAGCACCTTTTCTTCCACTGCATCTGTTTGCACCAGTTTGTTTCCCAGGTTTCAAATCTTTGAATCCAAAGCCTTTTTTTTCATTTCTGGAACATGGCATCACATCCCATAGTTCCACAGTGGAAGATGTTTAATTGGCATTATTTTCACAGACTTCTCTACATTTCAAAATCCATTACTTCAAAAAGAATGTATATCATGCTAAATCTGAATATTTGGGTTGTGTATCAATGTGCTTGCTAGGGAACACACTGCTCATAAACCTAATTAGTGAGCTTGCTGTGCATTAAACACACAAAATGGGGTCATTGACGTCTTCACACAATACACTCTAGCAACCATGCAGTTACCCCTAGCAACCAATGTAAGCTAACTGACTCATATACCTCAACAAACACTGAGGTATTACCATGCAACGACCGATTCATCAAAGCAACCCTCAAAAACGATAAGACCCCCCCTAAGACACCCTGGCAACTAACTGGCCTAGTTACACCCTAACAAGTAACCTGAAAAACACCCAATAATAGCCTTGTCCTTCCCAATTCAAGAGATTCAGACAATTTTACTGATCCCAAGGTTATTCATTTGCAGCTTAGCCTGTTCACAATAACAACATCCAATATGATATGTGTCAAAGCATGATTCTCCCAGAGGGATCATAACATGCTTGACTTCAATGATCTTGGAGCAGAACTCAACAATGAGGAGTCCGAAATAAGGTGGTCGGGTCTATGAAGGATTTGTCCACTTGCGTCAGCAGCTTGTTGGAATTAGGAGTTAGCGAAATTAGTCACAGGAAACATTCAAGGCCATGAGACTGAAAACTACAACCAACAAAGTTTCAGTTTCATGTCATCATTTTTTTCTTTTTACTCTGACCAAAGTAAGTATTTTCTTTTGCTGCTTTGGCTGTCTTCATCTTTTTTCTGTCCTTCCATTAACCACATTCATTGACTCAATCTGCTAATTTGCTCTTTTTCCCTACCCAACACCTCGTTCCCCTAAATTTCCATCAAATCAACATAGGTTGGAAAAAAAAAAAAAAAGATCACATCAGAGATTGTAAACTGTAGGCTTCACCAAAAGGACCTGATCCACATGTATAAGGTTTATTTCTCACCCAGTCCTCATCTTGCCATCTTTCCCTCAGATCTCTACTGACTGACATTCCTCTAATATTCCTCCTGTGCTCCCATAGAGCTTTTCAGAAAGCAGTGACTTAACCAGATGTATAGAGCAGAGACATATACTTCAAATTATGCAGCGCAAAAAAGCAGACAGTTTGCTCTGAAATCAAATGTTGTTACCTTGAGTAAAAAATGATGATCGTGGTGCTTGCATCATTTTCTGGAAATTTCATAGTAAGATGGATAAAGACGGCAGACTTTTTGAAAAAGAGGTGCTGCAATTACCCCAAACACACATACAATGGGCTTGACAGGTGCTGGCATTATCTCGCCGATGCAGGGTGAAGACAGGTTGCTGACAACCACTCATCAGTTAATAATTCATGTTTTGGTTGAAAAGGTGCATTTGGTTTTTACTTTGTTTATGCAGCAAAAGATTCACAACTGAAAAACTGAGGACATATGTGACATAGTGGCATCACTTTCCGGCGGCTGTCACATACCCTTATGAATCTATGAAATTAACTAATATTGTTTTTTTGTAAAGCACTTTGTTACTTGTATTGAAAAGTGCTTTACAAATTAAATCAATATTATCATGCAGAATAAAAATGTCCATTTTAAGAACATTAAAACACAGTTAAACTGCTCGTCTTAGTCAAAAGCAGAGACGTGGAAAAAACACCTGTGAATGTGTAAATGGGCTCTGGCTGTCCTGTGAGGCATGACTGTCGGAGCAGTGACATATATTCATGTAGATTTTCACAACTTTTGCTTTAGTTGGCATGACCTTGAAGATTTACCTGTTGCCCTGGCAACACATCCCTACCTCATTCTGTAGTGATACCTGTTATGTTCATTGATACAAAGCGAGATGTCGCACTGCAGAAATGTTTAGCTTACATGTTACACGGATTATTCTCCAATAGTTCCCTTTCACCTAAATCTTACACACTGGACCTTTAATGTTTCATACTTAAGTATATATTTTAAGTACATTTCCGAATACTGTTTTTGTTCAAAAACAATAAACCAACAGAACCAACATCGTCTCACCCTGGAAAATGCATATTCTGCTCAGACAAAGTAAGATTTCTTCTCCGTTTCATCCGCATTCATTTTGCATAACCCAGAGCAAGCTGACAACCTCCTAAATGACACAGAAAACACCAAAGAGGCCAGAGGGCAAAAGCATGTTAACATAACACCAAAGCCTCAGAGCTTGAGGTTCCTATTTGGGGAAATTTGGGCTGTTAAAGCGTGGCAAGAATGGTTAATACCTCCAATTGAAGCCATGGGGAGGGTGTGTGTGGTTGTAAGCGTCCCTTAAGTGCAGGCAAACATTTTATTAACTTGTTTTAACTCTCCAGGTTTTCTCTAAGCAGGAGAAAAGAGGCAACGCTGCTGCACAGGCTCTGCTGAAGTGTCCTCGAGCAACTTACTTTTCCTCTGCCTGCGGGAGGCGCCACTCGTTCCCTTTGGGGATCAACAACAGAATATCACAAGAAAACTACAACTCTCACAACTTCCTTCAAGATTTGCTATTCAAGCTCACAGGTCACGACCTTACGCTTCAATAATGGAACAGGTATCTACTAATGAATGAATACATTAGGCTGGAATCGACAGAGACAAACTTGAAGAGGAGGTATACGGGTGAAATCCGAGTGAAACAGTAAGATTGGCACAAGAAAGTAGATGAACGATGGATTCGCTTTGCAGCTAAGTTCAAACGCATTCAATGTCAGTCACACCCATTCAATCAAAGTCACCCAGGAGAGGGATGAGTAGGAGAAAAGACGAAACAGGAGGAATATGATGATAACAGCAATCAAGAAAGCAGAGGCGCTTCAAACCTCAGCAACCTTAAAAGGCTCGGTGACGAAGAAGAGAAAAGGTGAAAAATGACGGAGGAAAGGTGATTAACAGAGGACGATAGGAAGAAAAGAGGAGAGTGAGTGAGGTAAAGAGGGAAAATCGGGACGAACGAGACAGAATATGTGTGAATCAGGGCTGTGCCACTTATCTCGGAGTTGGTCATA